GTAACTAAATAAATAAATAATCGAAATATAATAAATGAGTAACTAAATAAATAAATAATCGAAATATAATAAATGAGTGACTAGATAAATAAATAATCGAAATATAATAAATGAGTAACTAAATAAATAAATAAACAAAATAAAATACATGGAAAATAAGTAACTAAATAAATAAATAAATAATCGAAATATAATAAATGAGTAACTAAATAAATAAATAATCGAAATATAATAAATGAGTGACTAGATAAATAAATAATCGAAATATAATAAATAAGTAACTAAATAAATAAATAATCGAAATATAATAAATGAGTAACTAAATAAATAAATAATCGAAATATAATAAATGAGTAACTAAATAAATAAATAATCGAAATATAATAAATAAGTGACTAAATAAATAAATAAACAAAATAAATAATTGCCATTTTTCGTAAATAATCTAATATCAACCGTTTTTATACGAATTGTATGGAGTAAAGGATTATTTTTTATAGAAATGTCTTCCTTTCACAACGACGTCAGTTTATTTCTATGCTGCTATATGTTTAATAGTTTTCACAGGAATAACCGATATAATAATTATGATGTTTATGATACTTTGTATAACCATCCAAATTTGAATAAAAACATCCTTTTCTTTGAGAGCAGTTCTGATATAAATAAAAAGTTTTCGGCAATACTAAATTGTTCTTTATCATTAAAATTTCAAAATTATCAACCAATTGCACCATGCCCCCCTAGTGGCACAGCGGTATATCTGCTGACTTACAACGCTAGATACCGGGTTTCGATACCCGTGGTGGGCAGAGCACAGATAGCCCATTGTGTAGCTTTGTGTTTGCATTACTACAAACAAACAAATTTCACCATGAAACAATACCCAGTCTCATGAGACACTATTTCTATGTTTCGATGTACACATTACTATTTATCTACTACAAACTTGTTTTTTGTTTTAAATCGAAGATCACGACACTTAAATTACATATCTAGCATTTAACACAACGACACTGCACAACAACATCGTAGGCATTTCTGAGCGTGCTCTAAAATCTCAAATACATTTTCAGTTGACGTACAAGAAAAACTCCAGGCTGAAAGTAGCTCTTATACTAATAAACCATTCCATTAAAAGTTAATTAAAATGTAGTTGTAGAAATAAAATATATATATGCATTTAAAACAAAATATTTGTAATCTCTTCAATCGAGGGCTAAATCTACTGTTGTTGTTTTCTTTTCATCAGTGCAGGGTGTTTCTTTCTTTTTTTGTCTATAAAAATGTTTCTGTCCTTGATAAATTTAAATAAAATATTCTCTACCAACAAATTTCAATAATATGGAACACGCAGAACATCATTAATTATAAGAAAGCAAACGAACATGCTTACAGAAAATGGTTACAAAGTGGAATGAAAATAATGCGAAAGAATATATATATATATATACGGTGCATTTCAATCTGGAGGTGACAAACTTTTAGAAGATGAAAAAAAAATTCCATACGTTTTTTTTTCCTTCTAAAGAAGAAACACGTACACAATCTACTCAGGCTTTTAAAAGTTACAGCTGACGACCTCCATACAGGGTTGATGTGGTCTTCCTTGTATGTTGAATAAATGTTTATATATCTAATAATATCTCGTGTAGAGACTTGTATGCACAAGGCACCAAAGACCACTACCATAAAGAATATTAAGACGATACTATTATTAGTATTACTATTATTTCAGCACTTAGATAGATATATTTTTTATTGGGTGGCAAACTTGTAAGTTGCCACCAAGCAGCATCTAGGTTATCAAAGAGTCATTTCGGGTGGCTTGTTTAAAAACTATTTTGGCAACTTCAGATAGAATTTTATCTCAACTATTTAATAATCCATATTCCCAAGACATTATTTTATTGCTAATAGCCGTGTTTTGAAACTTTCACCGTAAATATAAATGTCTGATTGGAGAGCAAACAAATACTGGAATGTGATTATCCTGGCTGTCCCGTGACGTTGGATGTTTGATTATCAGCATCGCCGTAAGGTGAGATAGTAGATGTCATAAATCGGAAAATATCTTCATTTTCTTTGCGAACTAGAAGTGGAAATGAGAGAGAAAAAAAGAAATTCGTAAATATAAATCAATAAATTACATATACTTATTGTACTTGAACATGTTTACGTTGGAATTTTTAAAACATAATTCCTCAAACTTACGTGAAAAAAAGGTGCTTAAATTAATTACAAATTTAACATCGTTTTTAAATTTTTCTATACTCTATATTGCAGTCTTAACATGAACAACAAGATAACAAAAATTCCAATAATAATGGCTGGCGTTTTTTTTTTTTAGGATTTTACATGTGCTCGGGGGGCATAACGACAAAGATTTAGTTTTGAGGCAAAGACAAATAATAATTTTATGTAAGTGGAAATCCCAATGAAGAGAATTTCAATATCCTAAAAGGCTATATCTAAAATGAGAGCTCTCCAATGGGGGGTCTGTCCCCACACAACCCCAATGTAGACGATTCTACATATTTAGATATATTCTTTCAGCGATGACGACAAACCGAAGTTTATCTCCCTTAATGCTACAAACTCTACTCACAAAGATAGTAATAAAATTACTGTCAAATAGCACCTTTTAGTTTCGATTTGTCTTTGTTTATTCAGCTTATTGTAGATCTTTAGGGTAAAAACGGTTTTATTTCCACAATCTTTAACAATTCAATAAAAAATACCTCTTGCACACTCTGTTGTCCTTTCTTTGATTCCTAATGATATTCAACTACTGTTATTGTCTTACTCTTACCTAGTTAAAGTAACGACAAAATATTTATAAAATATCTTTTCAAAAAATAATCTTTTATGTTTTATATTACATGACCCCCCCAAAAAATGGACCACATAAAAATGTGGTTCTTTTAAATTTGTTCATAATGCATTCATTAAAATGTTTGTTGCCATACACTGGACTTTTTTCGGGAAATCTAGCACGGAATTTATGTAAATTCATCCTTAATCGGAATTTATATAAATTCATCGTTAATCGCAAATTATCTGTTACGTCACTGTGTCTTCGTGTGGATCAACGGTAAGTTTAAAGGCTTACAAAGCAACAGTCTGAAGTTCTATTCCCCGCAGTGAACACGACAGCTAGCCCAATGTGGCTTTGCTCCAAAAAACCCATAAACATTTACACATAGAAAGCACAACAATTTACATAATCTAAAAACCATATTACATTTATTGAATTACAATTCAAGAAATTGTTAATGAAAAATAAAACGTCTTATTTTTCTTTATTGTTTGTGTAGTTTTGCTACAACTTAATTTACATAGAGCACAATTTCTTTCTTTCCAACTTAACATATACTCCTTACAAGTACCTTGCCCCCCAGTGGCACAGCGGTATGTCTGCGAACTAACAACGCTAGAAACCGAATTTCTTTCTTTCGCAACTTAACATATACTCCTTACAAGTACCTTGCCCCCCAGTGGCACAGCGGTATGTCTGCGAACTTACAACGCTAAAAACCGAATTTCTTTCTTTCACAATTTAACATATACTCCTTACAAATACCTTGCCTCCAGTGGCACAGCAGTATGTCTGCGAACTTACAACGCTAGAAACCGTGTAGCTTTATGCTTAACTTCAAACAAGCCAAACAAATATCTCTTTTTTTTAAGTTTATTTAATTACCTATATAAATTTTAGGTTGTCTTCTTGATAAAAGAATTTTATTATATTTGAAAACATCTTTCAGTTTTCTATCTACTATTTGTTTTAATTGAATATTGATGAATGAAATATCAATATTCAATTACCTAAATTGGGAGTAAAACTTCAGTAGCGCTATGCTGATTATTTACTTTTGGCTTTACTAATTACTTCAAACATACAAGTGGGATGTCGAACAATGATTAAACTGTCCTTAAACCTAGGATTAGGATATTCTTTTAAATTATCTCCCAGTCTTCTGACAGTTGATCCGACGTTAGCTCCCCCACACGTTGGGCAGCAGAATTAATAAGAGGCGCGTAATTGTTAAGAAAACTGGATTCAACCTTTAAACTTGGAAAAAATATTGGATTCTCAATAAAGGTCTGAACTCACATTGAAGGTGTCTTTGTGGATAGACTTTGTTGGTTACAGTGTTTAGTTTCAACAAAATGAATCTGAGCCTGTGTACCGTAGAAAAACCATTACTTGTAGCTTTAGGACGTCATAGTTCAGTGACCTGGATAGATGTAGTTTTTATTGATGGTAGAATCAATAAAGTTGTTCAGGAAGGAGTTAAGTTTCAAAACGGATTTTAGTCTGAGTAATTCTCGCATTACAAGTTCACGGGAACTGGTAATTCGGTGTGCACTGAACATATCACGTGGGTGCATACTCCAATATAGGTGGATTTTTGGCTAACAACCAACATCAAAATGTCCTTTTTTATTGAAGAAGAAAGTAGAGCAGATCATTATTGAACTTAATGTTACCATGTTTAGAATTCAAATATTCTGCAAGTTTAGTTAACTTATCTCCATTTTGAGTATTAAAAATATTCCATAAACATGGTGTGATTATAAATAAGTAGTCTAAGTTTAGTAGGACGGTCCCTCAGACAACTGTTCTCATGAAAACATTAGCCATTATTGCTGACTCCATTAAACTGTTCATAACGTACACCATTAAATAGAGATTTTCGTGGCAAATTCCATCAGTTGTCTGAAAGAGAGTACATTTAGTCCATTAAAACATTTCTTGTCTTTGAAAACAAAATTAAAACGTGGGTTAATAGTTTTATCCGGGGGAAGTTTAGTGAACAGAGCCTCAATATCAAGACTGGCCAAATAAACACCTTCATCAAGCTTTTAGCATTACCAGAAAAATTGAAGCTGTTTTTCACTGTGTAATTATTAAACGTAAATTCAGTTAAAAACGAGGATAATAACTTGGACAAGCTGTAATTAAAACAACCTGTGTTGAAAACAATAGGTCTAATGTGGCAATCCGAGTTGTGAAACTAAGGTAGCCCGTAAAGTGTGCTTGAGTGAGAACCGATTGGTCTAATGTGGCAATCAGATTTGTGAAACTAAGATATCCCGTAAAGTGTGCTGCGTGAGAACCGACTGGTCTAATGTGGCAATCAGATTTGTGAAACTAAGATAGCCCGTAAAGTGTGCTGCGTAAGAACCGACTGGTATAATGTCATTATAAGTATTATCATCCGCAGAATTGGTTTTCTTCAAATTTAGCAAGAATTTAGTTTAATGATTTCTTGAAGTAGTACGGTCTTTCGATAATTTAGAAAAATTGGTAGTGTTACTTTGTCAAAGTAGTCTACTTTATTCTAAATAACCGTGTCGTTCCCTTTGTCTGATTTAATATTGACAACGCTACTGTTGGATTTAAGCATGTTTATGGCTATCTTTTCTCCTTTGCTGATGTTAGAAAATTTGTGCCCCAAAACTACGTAACCACGAGAGGGCGATTCTGCTGATATGTATTCTAACATTATTGAAGATTAACCCCGAGAGGGCAATTCTGCTGATATCTGTTCTAACATTATTGAAGATTAACCCCGAAAGGGCGATTCTGCTGATATCTGTTCTAACATTATTGAAGATTAACCCCGAAGGGGCGATTCTGCTGATATCTGTTCTAACATTATTGAAGATTAACCCCGAGAGGGCAATTCTGCTGATATCTGTTCTAACATTATTGAAGATTTCATTACAAAGTGGGTAAACATCACAAGTTTTGAGTTTTCTTAACAAAAGTTCAAAAGGAGTCAGATGAACATGGTGCCAAAGTTTTACTGGCACTAGAGAATATCTCAAGCCCATAGATAAAAGCCCTTTCTCTACTTTTCCTAGAATATAGCCAGACAAGTTATCCGAATAATCTAAAATAATCTCTTCTTTTTGAAGCATTTTTTAAGGACTGCACTTTCTTCAGATGATTACAACGGTATTTCTTAAGTTCATTATTGGGAAAACACTCAACGAAACGATTAAAATGGGTGAAACAACACTTTCGATTTTGTGTTTTAAGTCCAGCAAATCTTTAAGTAAATATTTTTCCACTCATACTTTGGATCTAATTTTAGTGAAGCCAAAAACGTGACTATAAAAGAGACTCTTCTAATTCTTCAAAAAAAAAAAAAACTAAAATTAAACAATCAGCAAAACGTTACTGAAGTTTTAATCGCTATTTAGGTAATTGAATTTTATTTAAACTTCCACGTTCTACAGATGTGAAATGTCAACATACATCACTACAAAAAGATTAGGTTGACTAATCCCTCTTTGAAAATGTTTTTTTTTTTTACTTTTGAAAGTAAATTATATGATCTATTCGTAAGATTTACTAGAATGTTTAAAATAAATGGGTTTGTGGTGATTACAAAAGATCTACATAATGATTTAAATTTCGTTGTTTTTTCTAAAAATATTAATCACAATCAAATTTTCTGGTGAAATATTTTTTTTTTGTAATTAAGCACAAAGCTACACAATGGAC